TTTGGTTTTGTTGTTTGGTTGATTATTAAGTCGGTTGGTTAGCTTCATGTTAGAGTTTAGTTTGTTTGGGATCCACAGCCAGTTGTCACGCACCTCCTCGTCGTCCAGCCGCCGCTGTGTGTCAGTGATGAACTTGATGTACTGACTAGTCAGAGTCATCAGCTCACTGTACTGGTCCTCAGTGTTACATACTGATACAGGGGAGAAACAAACAACACTTAAACATGTGAGTTTACAGCTGCATGTGGATGGAAAGTAAAACAACTCTTGTAATATAAATCAAACAAAATTCACGATTCATACTGAGGATCTGTATCCTATAATGTTGTAAGAAAAACACCTCCTGAATGATGTTGTCAGAAGCAGAATCCATTTTGGTTTTCTTCAATGGAGAAGCAAGAGGCTCCACCTGGGCTTTGTAGGCCACCAGCTGGAGTTCGTAGTCCTATTTGAAAACACAGAATCAATAAATATTGATATTGTTAAATATTGTTTTGGCCATGTTGATTTGAAAAACATGTATAGTTTTTCAAAGGTAGATGCTCACCTTGATTGCATCAATGTATGCTTTGGCATATTTTTGACACTCGTCAACGTTGTCCTTGTTGCCCTCGATCTCCTCAAGAAGTTTCTGTTTTGAAAAAAGGGAGGTTATAATAAGAGTTGAGCTCACTATAGTTCCATGTAAAAAACCATCATGACAATGTTCAAAATCTCCCGCAGATTTCAACAAACCTTCTCCTGGGTCAGCTGTTCTTTCAGAGTCTTGCTGTCCGTGATGGGCACGGCCTGAATCTTCTCCTGCCTCTGCTTGGCGTCGCCGATCCAGCGGATCAGCCAGTCGTAGCTCTCGCGGTAGTAGCCGAGCTGACGGCCGAGCTGCTCCAGCTCTCTCTGGCGGAGGTCCATCTGTGTGAACATGGCCTTCCAGCGGTCCTGTAGGCTGGACTGCAGCTGACGGTAGTGGTCGAGCTCGGCGTCGCGCTCGCTGTGCACGCGGGACATCTTGTCACTCACTGTGGAGGCCTTCTTCAGCTCCTCGTCCAGAGAGTCGAATACCGGCTGCTCGCCCTCGGCCTCAGCTCGCATTTTCTACAGTTAAAAAAAAACAACCAAATAAGTTAATATCATCATTAGGGACAAGGCTTAACTGATTTAGATCCCTGTGACTAGAAAATAAAATATATACATACAGAAATAATGCAGCTCAATCAACACTTATGGGCTAAATGTGTGCGGTTGTGACAGTGACAGCAGAGACTTTATCCTCTGCCTGCATTTTCATGTTTTGGTTTGTTTGATTTACTTAAGACGTTTCTGGTTGGGGAGCTGGCGTGTTTCTCCCAGCCAATGACAATGAGCAGGTGAGTTTAGGAGTGGATACACTTCAGCGATTGGACGAGGTTGAACCTTGTGTTAGCCTTAACATGTGGACGCAGAGTTGGCCTGCTTTCTGTTGGACAGGCAGGTGCCAAACACCGGCGGTTAGCTTTTGCTAGTGCAGGTAGCTTGCAGGTGAAGGTACAAGCAGTAAACGTACACACTACGTCCTGCAGTGAGCGTGCACTTCTCGGGGTGATGAGCCCAGGAGGAGGAGGGGGTCCAGATTCAATGTTGTGTTCACATAGCTGCAAAGACAATTTGCTACTGACTCCACCTTTAAAGTTGTCCTCTAACAGCTGGTGTTTCTCTGAACCCTGACACTAAAAGAATGAAAAGCTGGTTTACCTTGAGCTTTGATCTGTAAGTCTCCACTTCCTTGATATCACTGGGCACAGTGTGAACCTCACGCAGGCAGTCCTCATACTGCTTGAGAACTCCCTCAGCACCCTGAGTGTTACGAATCACCATTTCCACGGTCTTCAGCCTGGGGCAAAAGAAAAAAAGAAGTAGTACATAAAGTGGCAAACCAAAGTTTCATCAGAGAACAGTGCATTATCTTTTCATTTCAAAGAGCTAGTTTGTGAAGACTCACTTGTCCAGATAAAAAGAGGAAAGCATGTGGGCATGATCCATCTTCTGCACGGTGACGTCAAGCTCTGAGCGCAGGACGGGATAAGAGGCAGACTTCTGTGGGGAGGCCAAGACCTCTTGTGTCTTTACAGAGACCTTATTAAGGTCCTTCTTGAGGCCATCAAGTTCCACCTGGACTTTCTGTAAGACAGGAGAGGACAACAACAGTTAAGAAAATGTGAAGAAGGTCTTTACTGAGGATAAATATGATAAACAAGTTTTTAGAAATGTGTTACAAGGCATCTTTCATTTTAATGAACCAGTGCAGTGTTTGTCTGTGTGTAATGATTGGCCAGAGGCAGCGCACAAAATATTAACAGTCTGAGGTAAGCTGGGGTCTGAGCAGATGTAGTAAAAAGGTAGCCAGCGGGCTTTCAACTATCTCTCATGTGTGAACAAACTCAAGACATCGTAGCAAATGTAATTCTCTGCTGTATTTTCACACTTCAGAGTAAGCCAGAAAAAAGCACACTGCAATCTGATTTCTACTCAACAACCTGAGGTACAGAGGAAGCATGACATTTAATTATTCATTCTTCTTTTCCAATCAGTTCAACTTTATCTTTCCTGTCAGTGTCCTTACTTCAACTATTCTGCATGGTTTTTTGCACGATACATTATGGAAAAAAGCTGTGGTGACTGCAGCAATAATGATTCTCTTTTTTTCCAACTATCCTGAGTGCCTGGACCTGGATTATTTACACCAATGTATTTTTCCACATGCGCAATACCATTGGTTTGAGGATACCAGAAGCGCTCCTGTTGTGTTTCTTATTTATGAAAAAAAAAAAGGTGTGCTGCCTTTTGATTTAATTACAAAAAATCATCCGGTTATCAAGTCATGAATGCAACTATTTGGTTTTAAGCTGTGAATACATTCAAATAGTACACAAACATAATGACCACATCACGTTATGGCCATTAGAAGAGCATTTTCTATCCTTCTACATTAAAAGACTTTTCTCCCTGCAAAGGTTATGAACAGGTACTTTTTATCTCTTTCTCCAATTTAAACTAAGGGATATGCGGTCACAGTTGATATTAATTAGCCCTTTGGATAATCTTCTAACTGGCCTAGTGACACCGGTTGTTGAATAATTGTAGATGGCAGCAGGAGTCTGTCAATGGAGATTTAAAAACATTTTGAATATGTCCAGGATTTCTTGATGCCATGTCCTTGCATGAAAACATTAACACAATCATTGTTTAATTAGCGTACCTTCTGCTCTGTTGTCTTCTGAATACACTCCTTCAGAGGCTCCTTCTCTGTGGGTCTGCGGATGCGAGCCACAGTCCCGGTCTCACAGTTCTCAATACGCAGACGCAGGTCCTTGAGCTCAGAGATGTAGTTCTTACACAGAGTCTCGTCCTGCTGACCTATGGAGCAAACAAAGTGTCTCTGTTAAGTACAGCACAATGTACTATTTTCTTCACCAAAATATGGGGAGTGGGGGGAAATGTCCCCACATCTGTCCCACACAAGTGTTTGGTGGTGACAGATGTTTGATGCACTGTAAAATATGAGTAGATCAAAACTACTATCACATAAAGCTCTTCTTCCTGTGTTTGCTGCCTGTCCGCAGCTTGACTCACCTGTAGAGGGGCGCAGAGACCTTTGCAGCAGCAGAGCGCCCTCCTGCTTCAACCTGAGACCTGTTGATCACATAGGAACACAATGGTAGGCCTCCGACATTTTGGCCTCTTAAAAAGGCAGTGTGCCCAATGATTTATTATTTTTTGTTTACTTAAAACCCACCCTCATATACATAATAAAACAATGTACCTATATGTATTGAGTGCAAATAATTAAAAGGACAAAACATGTGTCTACATTACATCAATAAATATCTACCATGTCAATGATGTTCCCCTCATAAAATAAAGTATCCATACCTTTATTAAAACAAAAATAATAATAATAATAATACATTTAATTTGTAACGCACTTTACATTTTTGCAAAAAAAATCTCAAAGTGCTACAGGAAAAAAATAAAATAGAAATAAAAACAAATTTCATCAACTAAGCAACTAACGAACCTAAAAGCACAAGCAGAAGGTTTCGTTAAAATGTTTTTTAAGGCCCTTTTAAAAGCATCAGCAGACTGTGGGGCCCTCAGCTGCTCGGGGAGAGGTTCCACAGACTGCAAAAACGTAGTTTCCTGTTTAGTTATGTGCTGCAAATGATTAAAAAGTGATGTGACACACAGGAAATAATTTCATAAGTGCAAACTCCTTTAGAAATATAATGGTTCTTTATTAAGTCACACTATATATACATATATATATATATATATATATATATATATATGTGTGTGTGTGTGTGTGTGTGTGTGTGGCATAAAGGTGATATTGGCAATGTTCATGTTTTTAGTTTTTTAAAGTCTGTGGCATGGCGCCCTCTGCTCGTAACTGGTTGTACTGTTAACTGCTGCTTTGTAAATCATGAAATTACATCAAATACATGTATTTTATAAACACCTATTCTTAAAGTAGTTCATACTTCACCTTTCCAAAATGACTGAATGTACGTAATAAGGAGCAGGTGTTGTGTTTGTTAGTATTTGTAATGTGTGATTTACAGTAGAATGGTTTGTTGGCTTGTGTTCATTACGAGACTGTTTTTCCCCCCATGAGTCAGAGGGCTGTTGCTGTTGGTTATATAATTTGTTGAACACTGTCTCGTTCAATGTTTTCCTCTCATATCAGAATGCTTTTGAGTGTTCTATGATGAAAACTCAACCTGAGTCTCGAGGGGCGGAGCGGACCGAGACAATGATGATCCACTTGAAAGTGAATAACTCTAATGACTCAAACAGTCTCTCTTCATAACCTCGGATTTGATCGTTCTGTGATGTCATCAAAGCGCTGATGAAAACAGAACGTGCCTGTGTTGTTCCTACATTCTATGGTTGCTAAGCAATTAAATCGAAAGATATTATAACAATGTTATATTTATATTAATTATTATGTTATACAATCCCCTTTAGTAATATAATTACTGCTTCTTCATGAAGTCACAAAATACAACTTTAAATGTGGCATAAAGGTGACATTCATAAAGTTTATGTTTTTAGTTTTCTGATAACTGTACAATGGCGCCCTCTGCTGGTGACTGGTTGTACTGCTCACTGCTGCTTTGATAATCATGAATTGACATCAAATAAATGTATTTTAAAAACACCTTTCCCTGAATGTTTACTTGTTTATTTTTTTGACATAAAACTCTTACTATATAAATGGTAAAGTACTCAAATTGAATGAGTTAAGTAAATTAATAAACTAATAAATGTAGAGTTTCTGTCCTATCAAATCACAAACTATTATTTTAAACTGGAGTGCTTTGCCAGATAAATGTGAAAACTGCAAACTACTAATTCACAATCAACCTTTCCATAATCCCCAATTGTGTGGAATAAAAATATTTGTATTTCCTTCCTTCCTCCTCTGGTGGTTTTCATGAATATTAAAGATGTGAGGTAAACACTGCGACACAAACAGCTGGTTTATGGTTTCAAGCAGCTTTATTTATTAGCTTTATTTCCGATGAGGAGCAGTGACTCTTCACATTTGTAAGTGAAATTAACGACAACAACACAAAGAGTTTCTGCAATACAAAAGAAGCTGATTTCAAACATTCACTACACAAATATTAAACTATTAAAAATGTAAACACTGAATTTGTATAAGTATTTATATCATATGAAAATGGATAGCAAAGTTACACAAAAATATGAATGTAAAGGACTCTGAGGCACTGTAGACTATTATTCAAACAATAAATACTCTGATACTGATAAATGCATGCTTTATTACTGTGAGGTGTGCTCTAATATAAAGGTCAAAGGTCATGATACAAACACATATGTTCATATGTAGCAGCATACAGCAGCAGTGGGTACTTTAATTATCTTTACACATTTCATCAGACATGCAAAGTTTAGCTGCAGTATAAACTTCTGACTGATTTAAAAAACGAGATATATTTTGTACATGCTGCCTTTAAAGTCATAAATAATGTGTGGGAATTTATAGAACTCAGAATAGATCAGAATCTTATAAAAGTGTGCTCATGTTTTAACTGCAGTGCATAGAAGTCAATGATATCAGGTTATATGGATCTGAATACAAAAGAGGGATAGTGTTGTACTGTCGTGCAGCCAACAGGTGGCGCTGTTCTCCATTTCTCTGCTCTCAGACTGACGTCACCTTCATCACACACGTCTCGTTTTTCAAAACAACAAATAAATAAATGTAAATAAATAATATCATCAGAATCGATACAGTCTTAATCGATTAATCAATTAATTATTAATTTTAAAATTGTATTTTATAATTCCAATGTGTAGCTGTAGTATTTTTGATCTGGTTGCTTAGTAACCATGGGATGGAATTCACAGGTACATTCGATTTGAACCCTCGCTTTGATGACGTCACAGATCAGTCAAAACCGAGGTTATGAAGAGAGACTGTTTGAGTCATTAGAGTTATTCACTTTAACAAGTGGATCATCATTGTCTCGGTCCGCTCCGCCCCTCGAGACTCAGGTTGAGTTTTCATCATTGAACACTCAAAAGCATTCTGATATGATTGATAATCTTGAACGAGACAGTGTTCAACAAAATATATAACCAACAGCAACAGCCCTCTGACTCATGGGGGATCTATACACAATTATTCAACCCATGTTATATCAGAGGCTTTGCAATCGTCACACATCATTTCATCAGACATGCAAAGTTTAGCTGCAGTATAAACTTCTGACTGATTTAAAAAGCGAGATATATTTTGTACATGCTGCCTTTAAAGTCATAAATATTGTGTTAAATGTTTTTTAAGGCCCTTTTAAAAGCATCAGCAGACTGTGGGGCCCTCAGCTGCTCGGGGAGAGGTTCCACAGACTGCAAAAACGTAGTTTCCTGTTTAGTTATGTGCTGCAAATGATTAAAAAGTGATGTGACACACAGGAAATAATTTCATAAGTGCAAACTCCTTTAGAAATATAATGGTTCTTTATTAAGTCACACTATATATATATATATATATATATATATATATATATATATATGTGTGTGTGTGTGTGTGTGTGTGTGTGGCATAAAGGTGATATTGGCAATGTTCATGTTTTTAGTTTTTTAAAGTCTGTGGCATGGCGCCCTCTGCTCGTAACTGGTTGTACTGTTAACTGCTGCTTTGTAAATCATGAAATTACATCAAATACATGTATTTTATAAACACCTATTCTTAAAGTAGTTCATACTTCACCTTTCCAAAATGACTGAATGTACGTAATAAGGAGCAGGTGTTGTGTTTGTTAGTATTTGTAATGTGTGATTTACAGTAGAATGGTTTGTTGGCTTGTGTTCATTACGAGACTGTTTTTCCCCCCATGAGTCAGAGGGCTGTTGCTGTTGGTTATATAATTTGTTGAACACTGTCTCGTTCAATGTTTTTCTCATATCAGAATGCTTTTGAGTGTTCTATGATGAAAACTCAACCTGAGTCTCGAGGGGCGGAGCGGACCGAGACAATGATGATCCACTTGTTAAAGTGAATAACTCTAATGACTCAAACAGTCTCTCTTCATAACCTCGGATTTGATCGTTCTGTGATGTCATCAAAGCACTAATGAAACAGAACGTGCCTGTCTTGTTCCTACATTCTATGGTTGCTAAGCAATTAAATCGAAGATATTATAACAATGTTATATTTATATTATTAATTATGTTATAACAATCCCCTTTAGTAATATAATTACTGCTTCTTCATGAAGTCACAAAATACAACTTTAAATGTGGCATAAAGGTGACATTCATAAAGTTTATGTTTTTAGTTTTCTGATAACTGTACAATGGCGCCCTCTGCTGGTGACTGGTTGTACTGCTCACTGCTGCTTTGATAATCATGAATTGACATCAAATAAATGTATTTTAAAAACACCTTTCCCTGAATGTTTACTTGTTTATTTTTGACATAAAACTCTTACTATATAAATGGTAAAGTACTCAAATTGAATGAGTTAAGTAAATTAATAAACTAATAAATGTAGAGTTTCTGTCCTATCAAATCACAAACTATTATTTTAAACTGGAGTGCTTTGCCAGATAAATGTGAAAACTGCAAACTACTATTCACAATCAACCTTTCCATAATCCCCAATTGTATGGAATAAAAATATTTGTATTTCCTTCCTTCCTCCTCTGGTGGTTTTCATGAATATTAAAGATGTGAGGTAAACACTGCGACACAAACAGCTGGTTTATGGTTTCAAGCAGCTTTATTTATTAGCTTTATTTCCGATGAGGAGCAGTGACTCTTCACATTTGTAAGTGAAATTAACGACAACAACACAAAGAGTTTCTGCAATACAAAAGAAGCTGATTTCAAACATTCACTACACAAATATTAAACTATTAAAAATGTAAACACTGAATTTGTATAAGTATTTATATCATATGAAAATGGATAGCAAAGTTACACAAAAATATGAATGTAAAGGACTCTGAGGCACTGTAGACTATTATTCAAACAATAAATACTCTGATACTGATAAATGCATGCTTTATTACTGTGAGGTGTGCTCTAATATAAAGGTCAAAGGTCATGATACAAACACATATGTTCATATGTAGCAGCATACAGCAGCAGTGGGTACTTTAATTATCTTTACACATTTCATCAGACATGCAAAGTTTAGCTGCAGTATAAACTTCTGACTGATTTAAAAAACGAGATATATTTTGTACATGCTGCCTTTAAAGTCA